AACAGTTGTTCCTGATAGTGGATATCAGGGCCTTCTCTAGGAAGGCCTGGTACCTTGTTGACAGAACAGTTGTTCCTGATAGTGGATATCAGGGCCTTCTCTAGGAAGGCTGGTACCTTGTTGACAGAACAGTTGTTCCTGATAGTGGTTATCAGGGCCTTCTCTAGGAAGGCCTGGTACCTTGTTGACAGAACAGTTGTTATCAGGGTCTTCTCTAGGAAGGCCTGGTACCTTGTTGACAGAACAGTTGTTCCTGATAGTGGATATCAGGGTCTTCTCTAGGAAGGCCTGGTACCTTGTTGACAGAACAGTTGTTCCTGATAGTGGATATCAGGGCCTTCTCTAGGAAGGCCTGGTACCTTGTTGACAGAACAGTTGTTCCTGATAGTGGTTATCAGGGTCTTCTCTAGGAAGGCTTGGTACCTTGTTGACAGAAACAGTTGTTCCTGATAGTGGTTATCAGGGCCTTCTCTAGGAAGGCCTGGTACCTTGTTGACAGAACAGTTGTTCCTGATAGTGGTTATCAGGGTCTTCTCTAGGAAGGCCTGGTACATTGTTGACAGAACAGTTGTTCCTGATAGTGGTTATCAGGGCCTTCTCTAGGAAGGCTTGGTACCTTGTTGACAGAACAGTTGTTCCTGATAGTGGATATCAGGGCCTTCTCTAGGAAGGCCTGGTACCTTGTTGACAGAACAGTTGTTCCTGATAGTGGATATCAGGGCCTTCTCTAGGAAGGCTTGGTACCTTGTTGATAGAACAGTTGTTCCTGATAGTGGTTATCAGGGTCTTCTCTAGGAAGGCCTGGTACATTGTTGACAGAACAGTTGTTCCTGATAGTGGATATCAGGGCCTTCTCTAGGAAGGCTTGGTACCTTGTTGACAGAACAGTTGTTCCTGATAGTGGATATCAGGGCCTTCTCTAGGAAGGCTTGGTACCTTGTTGACAGAACAGTTGTTCCTGATAGTGGATATCAGGGCCTTCTCTAGGAAGGCCTGGTACCTTGTTGACAGAACAGTTGTTATCAGGGTCTTCTCTAGGAAGGCCTGGTACCTTGTTGACAGAACAGTTGTTCCTGATAGTGGATATCAGGGCCTTCTCTAGGAAGGCCTGGTACCTTGTTGACAGAACAGTTGTTCCTGATAGTGGATATCAGGGCCTTCTCTAGGAAGGCTTGGTACCTTGTTGACAGAACAGTTGTTCCTGATAGTGGTTATCAGGGCCTTCTCTAGGAAGGCCTGGTACCTTGTTGACAGAACAGTTGTTATCAGGGTCTTCTCTAGGAAGGCCTGGTACCTTGTTGACAGAACAGTGTTCCTGATAGTGGATATCAGGGGTCTTCTCTAGGAAGGCCTGGTACCCTTGTTGACAGAACAGTTGTTTCCTGATAGTGGATATCAGGGCCTTCTCTAGGAAGGCCTGGTACCTTGTTGACAGAACAGTTGTTCCTGATAGTGGTTATCAGGGTCTTCTCTAGGAAGGCTTGGTACCTTGTTGACAGAAACAGTTGTTCCTGATAGTGGTTATCAGGGTCTTCTCTAGGAAGGCTTGGTACCTTGTTGACAGAACAGTTGTTCCTGATAGTGGTTATCAGGGTCTTCTCTAGGAAGGCCTGGTACCTTGTTGACAGAACAGTTGTTCCTGATAGTGGATATCAGGGCCTTCTCTAGGAAGGCTTGGTACCTTGTTGACAGAACAGTTGTTCCTGATAGTGGTTATCAGGGTCTTCTCTAGGAAGGCTTGGTACCTTGTTGACAGAACAGTTGTTCCTGATAGTGGATATCAGGGCCTTCTCTAGGAAGGCTTGGTACCTTGTTGACAGAACAGTTGTTCCTGATAGTGGTTATCAGGGTCTTCTCTAGGAAGGCCTGGTACATTGTTGACAGAACAGTTGTTCCTGATAGTGGATATCAGGGCCTTCTCTAGGAAGGCTTGGTACCTTGTTGACAGAACAGTTGTTCCTGATAGTGGATATCAGGGCCTTCTCTAGGAAGGCTTGGTACCTTGTGACAGAACAGTTGTTCCTGATAGTGGTTATCAGGGTCTTCTCTAGGAAGGCCTGGTACATTGTTGACAGAACAGTTGTTCCTGATAGTGGATATCAGGGCCTTCTCTAGGAAGGCTTGGTACCTTGTTGACAGAACAGTTGTTCCTGATAGTGGATATCAGGGCCTTCTCTAGGAAGGCTTGGTACCTTGTTGACAGAACAGTTGTTCCTGATAGTGGATATCAGGGCCTTCTCTAGGAAGGCCTGGTACCTTGTTGACAGAACAGTTGTTATCAGGGTCTTCTCTAGGAAGGCCTGGTACCTTGTTGACAGAACAGTTGTTCCTGATAGTGGATATCAGGGCCTTCTCTAGGAAGGCCTGGTACCTTGTTGACAGAACAGTTGTTCCTGATAGTGGATATCAGGGCCTTCTCTAGGAAGGCTTGGTACCTTGTTGACAGAACAGTTGTTCCTGATAGTGGTTATCAGGGCCTTCTCTAGGAAGGCCTGGTACCTTGTTGACAGAACAGTTGTTATCAGGGTCTTCTCTAGGAAGGCCTGGTACCTTGTTGACAGAACAGTTGTTCCTGATAGTGGATATCAGGGTCTTCTCTAGGAAGGCCTGGTACCTTGTTGACAGAACAGTTGTTCCTGATAGTGGATATCAGGGCCTTCTCTAGGAAGGCCTGGTACCTTGTTGACAGAACAGTTGTTCCTGATAGTGGTTATCAGGGTCTTCTCTAGGAAGGCTTGGTACCTTGTTGACAGAACAGTTGTTCCTGATAGTGGTTATCAGGGCCTTCTCTAGGAAGGCCTGGTACCTTGTTGACAGAACAGTTGTTCCTGATAGTGGTTATCAGGGTCTTCTCTAGGAAGGCCTGGTACATTGTTGACAGAACAGTTGTTCCTGATAGTGGTTATCAGGGCCTTCTCTAGGAAGGCTTGGTACCTTGTTGACAGAACAGTTGTTCCTGATAGTGGATATCAGGGCCTTCTCTAGGAAGGCCTGGTACCTTGTTGACAGAACAGTTGTTCCTGATAGTGGATATCAGGGCCTTCTCTAGGAAGGCTTGGTACCTTGTTGACAGAACAGTTGTTCCTGATAGTGGTTATCAGGGCCTTCTCTAGGAAGGCCTGGTACCTTGTTGACAGAACAGTTGTTCCTGATAGTGGATATCAGGACCTTCTCTAGGAAGGCCTGGTAGACGACTTCTGTGCCGATGCTGGATACTGTCTCCTTGTTGCAACTTGAATTAAACCAGATCGATTTTTGATTGACTTTATCAACGATTGTTCTCCTTTTTGTTTCACCTGGAAATGCCCTTTACAATATGAATCTGATCATCATCATCATCTGATCACCATCTGATCATAGTCTGGTTGATTTTGTGATACCAGCCCAGTATTGTCCACAACAACAGATACAGGCCTATACAGTAAATTAAACTATTTGTTTAGTAAATAGAGATAGACAAATCAAAGTTTATTTGTCACAGTGGGCGTAAACGGTACAGTGAAATGCTGACTAGCCGCTATTCCTCAGTGCAGAATACATGTAAAGCAGCAAAGATAATCAATAGACAACACATAGATGAGGTACTAAGGCAGCTCTCTGGGTCCTGGTCTAAAGTAGTGCACTATAAAGGGAATAGGGTGCTATTTGGGATACAGCCTGTGTCTGGAACGCAGATGCAGTATTGTGGTAAGCAGACTATGATGGTTACATTCCTGTGGGGCAGCAGATTAAATCTGGGCAACAGGATTGTCTCTAAATAAGGAATGCATCAGACCAGCTGATTCCGGCAGTCAGGGGGCAGGTAGTTGATTCCGGCAGTCAGGGGGCAGGTAGTTGATTCCGGCAGTCAGGGGGCAGGTAGTTGATTCCGGCAGTCAGGGGGCAGGTAGTTGATTCCGGCAGTCAGGGGGCAGGTAATTGATTCCGGCAGTCAGGGGGCAGGTAATTGATTCCGGCAGTCAGGGGGCAGGTAATTGATTCCGGCAGTCAGGGGGCAGGTAGTTGATTCCGGCAGTCAGGGGGCAGGTAATTGATTCCGGCAGTCAGGGGGCAGGTAGTTGATTCCGGCAGTCAGGGGGCAGGTCATTGATTCCGGCAGTCAGGGGGCAGGTAGTTGATTCGGCAGTCAGGGGGCAGGTCATTGATTCGGCAGTCAGGGGGCAGGTAGTTGATTCCGGCAGTCAGGGGGCAGGTTAATTGATTCCGGCAAGTCAGGGGGCAGGTAGTTGATTCCGGCAGTCAGGGGGCAGGTAGTTGATTCCGGCAGTCAGGGGGCAGGTAATTGATTCTGGCAGTCAGGGGGCAGGTAGTTGATTCCGGCAGTCAGGGGGCAGGTCGTTGATTCCGGCCAGTCAGGGGGCAGGTCATTGATTCCGTCAGTCAGGGGGCAGGTAATTGATTCCGGCAGTCAGGGGGCAGGTAGTTGATTCCTGCAGTCAGGGGGCAGGTCATTGATTCCGGCAGTCAGGGGGCAGGTAGTTGATTCCTGCAGTCAGGGGGCAGGTCATTGATTCGGCAGTCAGGGGGCAGGTAGTTGATTTCGGCCAGTCAGGGGGCAGGTAATTGATTCCGGCAGTCAGGGGGCAGGTAGTTGATTCCTGCAGTCAGGGGGCAGGTAGTTGATTTCGGCAGTCAGGGGGCAGGTAGTTGATTTCGGCAGTCAGGGGGCAGGTAGTTGATTCCGGCAGTCAGGGGGCAGGTAGTTGATTCCGGCAGTCAGGGGGCAGGTAGTTGATTTCGGCAGTCAGGGGGCAGGTAATTGATTCCGGCAGTCAGGGGGCAGGTAGTTGATTCCTGCAGTCAGGGGGCAGGTCATTGATTCCGGCAGTCAGGGGGCAGGTAGTTGATTTCGGCAGTCAGGGGGCAGGTAGTTGATTAAGGCAGTCAGGGGGCAGGTAGTTGATTAAGGCAGTCAGGGGGCAGGTAGTGTGCTGTGAGGCCTCTTTTCAGAGAATATTCACACAGATAGCATTGGTAGGAGCTAGATGTTACATACATACCGACAGTGGGCAGAAGAAATCTGCTACTAGAAATCTATTTTCAAAGATTATACGTACAGACTGGCTGGGTAGGAGCTTCATGGTCGACTGAAGATCTTTGTCTGACAGGAATTTATCTGGACCCAAATCAACCTGTGCAGCAACAAAACCACATAAACTTAACACATACTTTACCAGCCAAATACCTTCAGGTGATAACAACACAATATAATTAGTTTAGAACTATAAAATGCAGATACCAAAACAACAAGACTGTCGCCAGCAAGTCAAAACCAGTCAGCGCCTGGCCCAAGACAAGCTGCACCTACAGTATAAAACAACTTTTGATTCTACCTATAAGATCACAATTAAGTTATACAATCCTTTATTAAAGTTCCAATAGCAATAGTAAACAGTAGACTCACCCAACTCAACACTTGTCGTTCCTTGGGTTGATCTTTGTTTTTGATTAAGAAATATTTCTTCCGTATCCTCCAGCCTGAAAGGTTATAAAACAAGTCCATTTTAATATCACAGTTTCCTGATTAACAGTCCACTTAACATGTCAGGTTTTATCTGAGTCACAATGGTAAGTTCATGGTCAAATAGAGATGGTGCATTTAACCAATCAATTTAGCCCACCTAATTATGAAATCAATTCACTTTATTTACAAAAGCACTTCAAGGCTATCTGAGCTTTAAAAGCACTCACTAACTGTGGGGGGGGGGGGGGCAGTATGAAAAATGTATGCACTCACTAACTGTAAGTCGCTCTGGATAAGAGCGTCTGCTAAATGACTAAAATGTAAAATGTCATAACGTCTGCTGTCTCAGCCACTGCCTGTCACCAAGGGAGTACCCCAAGGCTCCATCCTAGGCCCCACGCTCTTCTCAATTTACATCAACAACATAGCTCAGGCAGTAGGAAGCTCTCTCATCCATTTATATGCAGATGATACAGTCTTATACTCAACTGGCCCCGCCCCGGATTTTGTGTTAAACGCTCTACAACAAAGCTTGTTTAGTGTCCAACAAGCTTTCTCTGCCCTAAACCTTGTTCTGAACACCTCTAAAACAAAGGTAATGTGGTTTGGTAAGAAGAATGCACCTCTCCCCACCGGTGTGATTACTACCTCTGAGGGTTTAGAGCTTGAGGTAGTCACCTCATACAAGTACTTGGGAGTACGGCTAGACGGTACACTGTCCTTCTCTCAGCACATATCAAAGCTGCAGGCTAAGGTTAAATCTAGACTTGGTTTCCTCTATCGTAATCACTCCTCTTCCATCCCAGCTGCCAAACTAACCCTGATTCAGATGACCATCCTACCCATGCTAGATTACGGAGACGTAATTTATAGATCGGCAGGTAAGGGTGCTCTCGAGCGGCTAGATGTTCTTTACCATTCGGCCATCAGATTTGCCACCAACGCTCCTTATAGGACATCACTGCACTCTATATTTCTCTGTAAACTGGTCATCTCTGTATACCCGTCGCAAGACCCACTGGTTGATGCTTATTTATAAAACCCTCTTAGGCCTCACTCCCCCCTATCTGAGATACCTACTGCAGCCCTCATCCTCCACATACAACACCCGTTCTGCCAGTCACATTCTGTTAAATGTCCCCAAAGCCCACACATCCCTGGGTCGCTCCTCTTTTCAGTTCGCTGCAGCTAGCGACTGGAACGAGCTGCAAAAAACACTCAAACTGGACAGTTTTATCTCCATCTCTTCATTCAAAGACTCAATCATGGACTCTTACTGCCAGTTGTGGCTGCTTCGCGTGATGTATTGTTGTCTCTACCTTCTTGCCCTTTGTGCTGTTGTCTGTTGCCCAATAATGTTTGTACCATGTTTTGTGCTGCTACCATGTTGTGTTGTCGTCTTAGGTCTCTCTTTATGTAGTGTTGTGGTGTCTCTCTTTATGTAGTGTTGTCTTAGGTCTCTCTTTATGTAGTGTTGTGGCGTCTCTCTTTATGTAGTGCTGTGGTGTCTCTCTTTATGTAGTGTTGTGGTGTCTCTCTTTATGTAGTGTTGTGGTGTCTCTCTTTATGTAGTGTTGTGGTCTCTCTTTATGTAGTGTTGTGGTGTCTCTCTTTATGTAGTGTTGTTGGTCTCTCTTTATGTAGTGTTTGTGGGTCTCTCTTTATGTAGTGTGGTGGTTGGTGTCTCTCTTTATGTAGTGTTGTGGTTGTCTCTCTTTATGTAGTGTTGTGGTGTCTCTCTTTATGTAGTGTTGTGGTGTCTCTCTTTATGTAGTGTTGTGGTCTCTCTTTATGTAGTGTTGTGGTGTCTCTCTTTATGTAGTGTTGTGGTGTCTCTCTTTATGTAGTGTTGTGGTGTCTCTCTTTATGTAGTGTTGTGGTGTCTCTCTTTATGTAGTGTTGTGGTGTCTCTCTTTATGTAGTGTTGTGATGTCTCTCTTTATGTAGTGCTGTGGTGTCTCTCTTTATGTAGTGTTGTGGTGTCTCTCTTTATGTAGTGTTGTGGTGTCTCTCTTTATGTAGTGTTGTGGTGTCTCTCTTTATGTAGTGTTGTGGCGTCTCTCTTTATGTAGTGTTGTGGTGTCTCTCTTTATGTAGTGTTGTGGCGTCTCTCTTTATGTAGTGTTGTGGTGTCTCTCTTTATGTAGTGTTGTGGTGTCTCTCTTTATGTAGTGTTGTGGTTGTCTCTCTTTATGTAGTGTTGTGGTGTCTCTCTTATGTAGTGTTGTGGCGTCTCTCTTTATGTAGTGTTGTGGCGTCTCTCTTTATGTAGTGTTGTGGTGTCTCTCTTTATGTAGTGTTGTGGCGTCTCTATGTAGTGTTGTGGTGTCTCTTTTATGTAGTGTTGTGGTGTCTCTCTTTATGTAGTGTTGTGGTGTCTCTCTTTATGTAGTGTTGTGGTGTCTCTCTTTATGTAGTGTTGTGGTGTCTCTCTTTATGTAGTGTTGTGGTGTCTCTCTTTATGTAGTGTTGTGGTGTCTCTCTTTATGTAGTGTTGTGGTGTCTCTCTTTATGTAGTGTTGTGGTGTCTCTCTTTATGTAGTGTTGTCGTCTTAGGTCTCTCTTTATGTAGTGTTGTGGTGTCTCTCTTTATGTAGTGTTGTCTTAGGTATCTCTTTATGTAGTGTTGTGGCGTCTCTCTTTATGTAGTGCTTGTGGTGTCTCTCTTTATGTAGTGCTGTGGTGTCTCTCTTTATGTAGTGTTGTGGTGTCTCTCTTTATGTAGTGTTGTGGTGTCTCTCTTTATGTAGTGTTGTGGTGTCTCTCTTTATGTAGTGTTGTGGTGTCTCTCTTTATGTAGTGTTGTGGTGTCTCTCTTTATGTAGTGTTGTGGTGTTCTCTCTTTATGTAGTGTTGTGGTGTCTCTCTTTATGTAGTGTTGTGGCGTCTCTCTTTATGTAGTGTTGTGGTTGTCTCTCTTTATGTAGTGTGTCTTTAGGTCTCTCTTTATGTAGTGTTGTGGCGTCTCTCTTTATGTAGTGTTGTGGTGTCTCTCTTTATGTAGTGTGTGGTTGTCTCTCTTTATGTAGTGTTGTTGGCGTCTCTCCTTTATGTAGTGTTGTGTGGCGTCTCTCTTTATGTAGTGTTGTGGTGTCTCTCTTTATGTAGTGCTGTGGTGTCTCTCTTTATGTAGTGTTGTGGTGTCTCTCTTTATGTAGTGTTGTGGTGTCTCTTCTTTATGTGGTGTTGTGGTGTCTCTCTTTATGTAGTGTTGTGCGTCTCTCTTTATGTAGTGTTGTGGTGTCTCTCTTTATGTAGTGTGTCTCTCTTTATGTAGTGTTGTGGCGTCTCTCTTATGTAGTGTTGTGGCGTCTCTCTTTATGTAGTGTTGTGGTGTCTCTCTTTATTAGTGTTGTGGTGTCTCTCTTATAGTGGTGTTGTGGTGTCTCTCTTATGTAGTGTTGTGGCGTCTCTCTTTATGTAGTGTTGTGGCGTCTCTCTTTATGTAGTGTTGTGGTGTCTCTCTTTATGTAGTGTTGTGGTGTCTCTCTTTATGTAGTGTTGTGGTGTCTCTATGTAGTGTTGTGGCGTCTCTCTTTATGTAGTGTTGTGGTGTCCTCTCTTTATGTAGTGTTGTGGTGTCTCTCTTTATGTAGTGTGTGGTGGTCTCTCTTTATGTAGTGTTGTGGCGTCTCTCTTTATGTAGTGGTGTCTCTCGTTATGTAGTGTTGGGTGTCTCTCTTTATGTAGTGTTGTGGTGTCTCTCTTTATGTTAGTGTTGTGGTGTCTCTCTTTATGTGTGTTGTGGTGTCTCTATGTAGTGTTGTGGCGTCTCTCTTTATGTAGTGTTGTGGTGTCTCTCTTTATGTAGTGTTTGTGGCGTCTCTCTTTATGTAGTGTTGTGGTGTCTCTCTTATGTAGTGTTGTGGTGTCTCTCTTATGTAGTGTTGTGGTGTCTCTCTTTATGTAGTGTTGTGGCGTCTCTCTTTATGTAGTGTTGTGGTGTCTCTCTTTATTGTAGTGTTGTGGCGTCTCTCTTTATGTAATGTTGTTGGCGTCTCTCTTTATGTAGTGTTGTGGTGTCTCTCTTTATGTAGTGTTGTGGTGTCTCTCTTTATGTAGTGTTGTGGTGTCTCTCTTTATGTAGTGTTGTGGTTGTCTCTCTTTATGTAGTGTTGTGGTGTCTCTCTTATGTAGTGTTGTGATGTCTCTCTTTATGTAGTGTTGTGGTGTCTCTCTTTATGTAGTGTTGTGGCGTCTCTCTTTATGTAGTGTTGTGGTGTCTCTATGTAGTGTTGTGGCGTCTCTCTCTATGTAGTGTTGTGGTGTCTCTCTTTATGTAGTGTTGTGGCGTCTCTCTTTATGTAGTGTTGTGGTGTCTCTCTATGTAGTGTTGTGGCGTCTCTCTTTATGTAGTGTTGTGGTGTCTCTCTTATGTAGTGTTGTGGTGTCTCTCTATGTAGTGTTGTGGCGTCTCTCTTTATGTAGTGTTGTGGTGTCTCTCTTTATGTAGTGTTGTGGTGTCTCTCTTTATGTAGTGTTGTGGCGTCTCTCTTTATGTAGTGTTGTGGCGTCTCTCTTTATGTAGTGTTGTGGTGTCTCTCTTTATGTAGTGTTGTGGTGTCTCTCTTTATGTAGTGTTGTGGTGTCTCTCTTTATGTAGTGTTGTGGGTGTCTCTCTTTATGTAGTGTTGTGGCTTCTCTCTTTATGTAGTGTTGTGGTGTCTCTCTTTATGTAGTGTTGTGGTGTCTCTCTTTATGTAGTGTTGTGGTGTCTCTCTATGTAGTGTTGTGGCGTCTCTCTTTATGTAGTGTTGTGGCGTCTCTCTTTATGTAGTGTTGTGGTGTCTCTCTTTATGTAGTGTTGTGGTGTCTCTCTTTATGTAGTGTTGTGGTGTCTCTCTTTATGTAGTGTTGTGGCGTCTCTCTTTATGTAGTGTTGTGGCGTCTCTCTTTATGTAGTGTTGTGGCGTCTCTCTTTATGTAGTGTTGTGGCGTCTGTCTTTATGTAGTGTTGTGGTGTCTCTCTTTATGTAGTGTTGTGGTGTCTCTCTTTATGTAGTGTTGTGGTGTCTCTCTTTATGTAGTGTTGTGGCTTCTCTCTTTATGTAGTGTTGTGGTGTCTCTCTTTATGTAGTGTTGTGGTGTCTCTCTTTATGTAGTGTTGTGGTGTCTCTCTTTATGTAGTGTTGTGGCGTCTCTCTTGTTGTGATGTGTGTTTGGTCCTATATATATATTTTTTATCCCAGCCCCCGTCCCCGCAGGAGGCCGTTTGCCTTTTGGTAGGCCGTCATTGTAAATAAGAATTTGTTCTTAACTGACTTGCCTAGTTAAATAAAGGTTAAATAAATAAATAAAATAAATAAATAAACTTACCGATGTCTTTCAAAGGCTCCACCACCTCCCACTTGGGATCTGACCTGAAGAACATGGACACCTGCTGTAAGGCGATTTCTGTAGAGGAGAAGAGACGGGGCTCAGTTTAACAACCATACAGAAAAACAACTATTACCCAATTTATCAACAACAAAAAATACTAACAAAAAAATATATATATATGGGATAATAGTAGTTTGAAATATGAATATATTTGACTCTTTTAGAGGCGCTCTCACACCAGGGTTTCCGTTAGCTGGTAATAGCCGTCTTTTGGCCGATAACAAAATAGAAAAGCCAATAAATAAAAATAGTGAAATCCCATTGTGAAATAATGTTTTTAGCCTCTTGACTGATGGAGTACCAGTCGACTGGTCAGGCTTATTGGTGTATAGGTTAATTTGCATAATTTAATGGAATTAAATTGGTGCGTGTCTACAGTATATTCGTTATGTATCTTATTTATCACACGCATACAGATACGGAGCCTTGGAGCGGAAAATCTGTCAGACAGCGAGAGAGCAGCTGCTGCATCTTTAACAGCAAACAAAGGCAACCGAAGGCAGGCCAAAATCAGACCATATCCGTGGAGCCAATTATTTCATATCAAAGGCCAAAATCAGACCATATCCGTGGAGCCAATTATTTCATATCAAAGGCCAAAATCAGACCATATCCGTGGAGCCAATTATTTCATATCAAAGGCCAAAATCAGACCATATCCGTGGAGCCAATTATTTCATATCAAAGGCCAAAATCAGACCATATCCGTGGAGCCAATTATTTCATATCAAAGGCCAAAATCAGACCATATCCGTGGAGCCAATTATTTCATATCAAAGGCCAAAATCAGACCATATCCGTGGAGCCAATTATTTCATATCAACTTTCTTTCGTTGTCCAGTAGCCAAAGGCACAATCCTAGTCGACCTTTCTACGATGGGGGAGAGTAGACTGACAGACTAGTGATTTTTGCTGTTCGTTACTCGTCTTGTTGGCTGAGGAAAAGTACATGTGACCAGTTATTCTAACATCTTCAATGTGCGCGTCAGAATTCGGTAAGAAGGACGCGCACATCGTTGCATCTTCGACTAGCATGTTCTGTTAATACGAACGACAATAATCTAAATGTGATTTCTGTCATTCTGAGCACCGTGGGTGGACACCCTAATCAGGTTACACACCCAATGCGTATGGGTCTGGTACATTTCTCAAATGTCCGGTAAATTTAAAAAATGCTGCCGGTCAAACATCCGGCGCCATATTTTCCTAACAGAAACCCTGCGTCACACCCCACAACCTCAACCCTAAGAGGTCACACACCTGTGTAGTTGGCAGAGTAGTTGTTGGTGTCGAGGAACTTCTTGACCAGTTGGCAGGTGGCTAGGATGTGATGCTGGGTAATAAAGTCTAGGTAGACCTGTAGTCCTCTCTGTCTCTCTGCTATGAACTCCCTGTCCATGTTACCTAGCAACTTCTTAGGTGGTAGAGGTAAGCTGATGCCAGAGACCTGGGGGGGGGGGGGGGGGGGGGGTGGTAGCGAGAGGGAGAGAGAGAAAGAGAACGATAGAATGAGCGAGAAACGATAGAATGAGCGAGAGAGAGAGAGAGAGAGAGAGAGAGAGAGATTAAAGAGAGACAGAGAGAAAGAGAGAGATCGAGTTCACACATAGGAATGTAGAGTTCATTGAATGAATAACCGTCAGGAAACGAGCTAGTAAAACCTCAGCAGAAACCTCAGCTTCCTCTTAACAATGGCTTCTCAACAATTAGTAATGACCAAAAAAGATTAGTCAGTATGTTCATAAAAACACAAAGACTGCATCCCAAATGGCACCCTATTCTCATAGGGTTCTGGTCAAAAGTAGTGAGCTATGTAGGGAATTGGGTGCCATTTGGAACGCAGACAGAAAGATGTGGTGCGGGAAAAGATACTTGTGACCTTTTTGTACCGGTGAAAGTCAAGCTGCACTTACCAACAAACTGCTATTCAGCATATCAAAGTCACTGTATCGCTTTATGACCTGCAACAATAAGAAACGTGTTGTATTGGGGGGAAACAACAACCAAAGGCTTCTTTCTTGAGGTTGAGAGAGCTCAGTCAAAAAGGTAAAAATAGATTTATAATCTTATTTACAGTACAACATGAAAATGTGTTGTGTTGAAGAACAAAAAGTATCATTGAGGTAAGGTTGAGGTTTAAGTAGGCTAAAAATAGATTGTTATTTACCTGCCAACTGTTTTCTGTAGTCACACCCCTCTGTACTCGGATGATGTATTCCTGGACAAGAAATTGAAAAAAATACAATATGATTCCACTATATTATATACACAGTGAGCTCCAACAGTGCTGGGACAGTGATGGGAGAGTGACAAACGTGTTGTTTTTAGGCTCTGTACGCCAGCACAAATATCATACCCCCAAGACATGCTAACCTCTCACCATTACAATAACAGGGGAGGTTAGCATTTTATATCATACCCCCAAGACATGCTAACCTCTCACCATTACAATAACAGGGGAGGTTAGCATTTATATCATACCCCCAAGACATGCTAACCTCTCGCCATTACAATAACAGGGGAGGTTAGCATTTATATCATACCCCCAAGACATGCTAACCTTCGCCATTACAATAACAGGGGAGGTTAGCATTTTATATCATACCCCAAGACATGCTAACCGCTCACCATTACAAATAACAGGGGAGGTTAGCATTTTATATCATACCCCCAAGACATGCTAACCTCTGCCATTACAATAACAGGGAGGTTAGCATTTTTATCATATCCCAAGACATGCTAACCTCTCGCCATTACAATAACAGGGGAGTTAGCATTTTATATCATATCCCCAAGACATGAACCTCTCGCCATTACAATAAACAGGGGAGGTTAGCATTTTATCATACCCCAAGACATGCTAACCTCTCGCCATTACAATAACAGGGGAGGTTAGCATTTTATATCATACCCCCAAGACATGCTAACCTCTCACCATTACAATAACAGGGGAGGTTAGCATTTTATATCATACCCCCAAGACAATGCTAACCTCTCACCATTACAATAACAGGGGAGGTTAGCATTTTTGGGGAGGTATGATATTGTGGTCCTCTGTAGCTCAGCTGGTAGAGCACGGCGCTTGTAACGCCAGGGTAGTGGGTTCGATCCCCGGGACCACCCATACACACACAAAAAAAAAAAAATATGCACGCATGACTGTAAGTCGCTTTGGACAAAAGCGTCTGCTAAATGGCATAATAAAAAAAAAAAATAATAATAGATATTTGTGCGTCTTTCTCACTCATCATTATTCACGTTAATTCAGGATTATCTGTAACCATGGTAGCATCCACATTAATGTAGAAGAGTTTAGAAACATATTATATTCCTATTTACAATAAAAGTGACTCCAAAATGACACAATATATTATTTACCATGAATTCCTATTGGGCACAAAATAATCTGAAACACAACCAAAACAAACAGCAAATGCATCCAACAAATCTGTGGAGTCACAATCTTGATCTAGTCAGTGTTTCAATAAAATTTCCCCCCTGGGGACAAAGGTTTACTGAACTGAAGGCCTACTTTTCTAGATGAAAAAAATATGAAAAAGATGACTATTAGAAATGTTTATTGATAACTAAGGCCTACTTTCTCCTTGCCTGGATCCATAATGAAATTATAATGAATATTTTTCACTTTTCATCAAACTTCGAAACGGAAGGATTGCGTTAGGATCCAGGCTAACTTTCCCTGCCTTATGTGAGGCATGGCTAACTGAGATGAACTTGCTGTAGTCTGCTTGTCATGCCCGACTCATGTGATTCCTCCGTGATAAAGTTACCTCCAGAGCACAGCAGTCAGGGATTAAAAGGAGATGACACAGAACAAGAAATACCAGAAGGGGTAAAGCCCCTCAGAACATGGCAAGACTGTTCTGATAGTTCTATTTCTATGGGAGAGGACACAGCGGTAAGCAACCTTCATCCGTCTCGAACGATGTCTCAGTCCAGGTCGCAATGTTCTATGACGATAAACGCGTATGTTTCACTGCATATTTAGTTAACCAGGTAAAGAGCCGGCGTGCTGACTAAGATCAGTGTTGCCTTTCAGATCATAACGAATCAGATTACATGGAGACCTGATCCCAGATCAGCACTTCTACTCCGATACTCTTATTTGAATAATAGGTTCCCCAAATCATTCACTACGGCTGAAGGCTAACACTATAGGCCTGAGTGGGGTGGTACTGTGGCCACATCTCAAATGGCACCCTATTCCCTTAACAGTGCACTACTTCTGACCACTACCCTATAGGCCCTGATCAAAAGTAGTGCACTACATAGACAATAGGGTGCCATTTGGGACACCATTTGGGACACAACTAAAGGTCTGACAGTTGTGACGCGGTAGTACGGTGGCTGGAATAACACAAGCAAAGGGTCCAAAGGTCTGGCTTAAACCTCACCAGGATAATCCACTGCAGGCCACTTAGACGCCACTGAGCCTCAGCTATATACCATTCACATAAACATTATTGTTCAATGTGCTAAAGGTGATACATTCAGGCTGGCAGCAAACGGTGGTACATCCCAGTTCAAAACAACTACACCTGAGTGTATAATTAAGTCTTTTTTTTTTTTTTTTTTTTTTCATTCAATTCACATCAGAGGGGGCACCTGCTCATAAGGGGCAACTGCCTCCTCAGATTTGTCCTGTAAAAAAAAAAAAAATCTGAAATAATACTAGCCACCTAGCAGTTTTATGAAGTTGGCTTTAGCTAGCCCAGATAGTTTTCCAATCAATCAAGTTAGAGTGGCAAGGTTGGTAGACTCTAGATAAGCAAGCAATAACTAGATGTACTGAATAAGACTCACATTCCTTTCAATCTTTTACCCAGATTTTAGCAGAGAAGCATAGTTTCTAAAAGATTGAGACAGCTCACGAGCAGAGGAGGCTGGTGGGAGGTGTTATAGGAGGACAAGCTCGTTACGGCTAGAATGGAATAACCAGAAAGGTGTCAAACGTGGTTTCCATGTTTGATACCCGTTCCATTCCAGCCATTGCAATGAACCTGTCCTCCTATAGCTCCTCCCACCAGCCTCCTCTGCACAAGAGGTACACTTAACATGCAGACCACACCCCTCGCGTTGCAAAATAAAATGTACACATACATGTTATTCAATCATTGCACCCACACTGCTCGCGCGCATCAACTAGCATCTGTGTAGCCAGGCACTAATATAGAACTTGGTTCTATTTGTGATGCTTGAGGCCCTGCAAGTCCCGCCTCTCCCGTCTCCTCATTGGGTTTTAGGAGCATATTCCCACCTGGGTGATTGACAGATGAACTGAGGTCCACACTCCAGTCCAGTTGGTGGTGGTGGTGATGCACCTTAAAGTTGGTTGCCAACCCCAATATAAAATCCAAAGAAGAAGCGATTACTAGAAATAACTCGATTTACCCTTTTATCTGTGGATTAATTGTCAGGGTAGAGGACCTTGTGCATTTCGTAAAATAACAACCCAATGTTTATACAAATTAGATAGCAACAGCAAGCCATACATGTTTAATGCTTTTCGACCTGTCCCCAAATTAATATAGTTGGTTCAGAGTTCGTTTTTATATTTCAACTGGCGTGTCCTGATCGTGTCTGGTGTGGGTGGACAAAAATAAATATGCCCATGCGAGCAAGCGGTCTCGTCAGCATATAAAATATGCAGAAAAATATGTATATATATTATTATTTTTTACATTGAATTAAGCGTAATGATTATGGCTCTAGATTGGTCTTTGAAAAATGCTAAATAAAAATGGTATCCACGAGTTCATCTGACTTTGGGAAAGTAGAGAAAAGGGCCTCATTGCCAATAAACCCGAAGTACCCAGCCATCCTCAAGTACTTTGTGGCTCCTCAGATTTTTGGGGTGCATGACGGCCCTGGTTCGAATCCATATTATCTAGTTAGCTGTTGGCTACCTTAAGTTATCACTTCACCCTGACCTCACCCAACACAATGGTATCATCAATATGTGGCAATTTGTCTGCCAGTGCTTTGGCAGTGCTTATTGTGAAAGACTCAACCATGACAACGACAGGAAGACTCCAACCAGCTCACATTCCACAAACAACCATCACAGACTATTTAGCAAAAGGCCCCATAAGCGATACATTGCATTTTAGTTAGGCGTCTAACTAACAGCTGTCATTGTTAAGACAGGAAGAAAAGAGCTGTTAGGTTAGTTAAATGTTTGCTCATTTTACTCTGTTTGCTTCCGTTTGGTTCTTAAAACGGTAAACGACTTCCGTAATGAATGCACCCCTAAGCTAAACTAGCTACAGTAACTAGCTAAATAGTTAGCAGCTGAGCTAACTATACAGCTGACGGTCAAAATGTCAACAAGCGATTCAATGGCAGCCGTTTTTACAGCGACCTGGTTGATAAACCCTT